ATGTGATATCGTCTATTTCTGGGTGGGTCAGGGTATCTCGTTCACAAAGATACACATATGAATTGAATCGACATCAAGATTTAGACATTTAGATTAGATTAAGAAAGACGCGTATACACTAACGCGTTACTCGGAATTTAACCTCTTTCACTAACAAACATCTCTCTCTCTGTATATATTATGTAATGAAGAAACTAGACACTTCATTTACTTCTATATTGGCCAAATTGCTATACTCTTGTTCAAATCTGGATGAATTCAATCGACCACGGGCATTATCATTGGTCGCTTCATCTTTAATAGGATTAATGAAAAAAAGTTCATGAATAACGCAATTACTATCGTACCTTTTATACCGATGGATCTCTCTGCCCTTCAAATTATTCCCTTTTTTAAATGTCCTCAAAGTCTTCATACTTCGTGACTTGTTTATTTGTACAAAAATGTTTTTATATATTTTCAGATTTCATTAGAGCATATAAACAATTTATCCGGTATTAAGCAAAAACTTTTCTTCGTATTGTGAGAAAACGACTGAGATTACTTTCCAAGGGTGAACCATGATTCGGTGTCCAAGATGTGTGATAAATTTAAGTTCTTGTCATATGAGGCATTGATAACTTTTTGAATCAAATCAAATGTATTAATGTATTGGTAAACGATCTGGAAATCTGAAAAGTTAAATCTACTCGTCTTTTGATTAAATAATGTCTAATGAGTCACGTGATAACAAACGTATACATAAACGTAATCGTAGGTTGATCAATTTTTCAAATTCGAGATGAGTTCAATTGGAACTGGTGTAAGCTTATGAGCTTGATGTCGCATTGAAACGTTCAGTAAAGAAATAGATTAACGCCAATTCATCTTACACAGTATGATCTTTCTGTGTCCACATACTCTCCAGACGGTCGCGTTTTTCAAGTTGAATATGCGGCAAAGGCTGTAGACAATAGCGGGTATTAGAAATTTCCTTGTTGAGCAATTTCTATGCAAGTTCAACGGCAAATCATGTTTCCATTTGACTGGCGAATGCTTTAGCACAGTGATCGGTCTGCGCGTCAAAGACGGTGTCGTACTTGCTGTCGAAAAACTTGTACAATCAAAATTATTAGTACCCGGCTCGAACCGCCGTATTCAAACTGTTGACACACACATTGGAATCGTAAGAATGCGATCCAAATTTCGTCACTGTTGGTATGCTTTGTGTCCAAAATCAGAGTTTCACGTTTTTTTCTGGACAGGCCACAGCTGGATTGTTAGCAGATGGCCGTCATATCGTCAACTGTGCAAGGGACGAGGCACAAAGTTATCGGAATGTGTACAAATCCCAAATTCCTGGAAAGGTGAGAAATTGAAGGAAAATTTTATCGAGCATCTTCGTATCCGTGAATAAAAAATCTATCCGTAGATCATTGCCGACAGAGTAGGTCAGTATGTGCAGGCCTACACATTATATTCCAGTGTTCGACCGTTTGGCAGTAGTGCTATAATCGGAACTTTTGACAAAGACGGCCCACAACTTTTCATGGTTGAACCATCCGGGGTATACTGGGTGAGGAACCTACCTTGATGAACATACGATTGTTATTACCGTTGTAATGATGAACTCGTGAGGTAACTTTCTATCTTTTAATCTATTGCAGGGTTACCACGGCTGCGCGATTGGTAAAGGGAAGCAAGTTGCAAAGACAGAAATTGAGAAACTCCAGCTCTCCGAGATGTCGGTTCTAGACGCCGTCAAGGAGGCTGCCCGAATGTAAGCAAGATGATTGATTCATCGTCAGCCTTTCGAATAAATGTAAACATGTGCATATAATATATTTCTTCATTTGGTAGCATTTACACCGTTCACGATGAAGCGAAAGACAAAGATTTTGAATTGGAATTGAGTTGGGTCAGCGAGGGAAATAAGAGGCATCAATTTGTACCCAGCGACCTCGCGGCCGAAGTGGAACGATTAGCAAAGGTGATTTTTGATTGCTTATCTTGATTGTTAACACGAATTGAATAATTCCCTATTGAGACCTTTTGTTTTACTCTTTTTTCCGTCTAGGAATCGCTCAATGAGGAAATGGAAGATGACTAAACATATGACAATCATGCGAAGCCTGATTAAAAAATAAACGGTATTAAAACGATTTACGTGGTGTATCATTCTGGGTTTTTTTTTGTGTTATTTCATGTAAAAATTACAAATTTTCTGATCATGTACATCACAAAGTTGTGAATATGCGTTGGAAAAATTACTCTATTAATCTCATTAGTCATCATTCGATCTATAAACATCGAAAACGTCACGTGTTATCAAAATTCTACTCACTTGAAATGAGGAATAAATTATTAACATATTATAATTAAATTACCACTAAACGTCTCACTCGTTAAAAACGACACAATTCTTTAACATATCTATTTACGCCCACCAATTTTTTAACCTCGGTCACCAGCTTCAAGAGTTCATTAACTAAATGGCTTGTCTTGATTAAATATGTGCAATAACAAATGTAAGCGCGAGTTTCCAAATCTTGTTTTTTTAATTCCGACGCAGTCATTCGAATCCTCTTTGAGATTCTTTCACCCAATCCGTGTTCTCCAAATTGAGTGTCCACTGACGCGACGATGTTATAAGGAGGCAACGGCACTCTATTTTCTAACGCTGTCGCCAAAATATAGAACGATGTCAAAATATGTGTAATATAATGGCACTTTGATGGATCCAACACATCTGCCAGGTCAGTCTTCCACTCTGTACCATTCAGTTCGCGAAGTGTGTGCTCTAATCCGCTAATCAAGTTGACCATGTGTTCCACTATATCTATCATCTTCTCGTAATGCTCCATCGGGAAACGACCTCTCAAAGGAGGTTCGTAAACGGTACGTAAAAGTAACAAACGTTCTGCGGCTATTGATCTTTTTACATGCGCGACCAACTTCGTAAATGAGGGAGCGGTGTTGAAACACATTTTACGAGGCTCTCTTAACAACATGGAAACTGTCATCGAATAAAGGACCCCAAGATTGGCTATTGTGCGCGCAAGTCGATAACGAACCTCTACGCGTCCTGCGTGTGGCCATGGAAACATCATCATTATGAATGCTGATGTGATTCCAATACTCACTGCACTTGTTCGCTGTTTTATGAAATAGATGAATTTAGGACCCTGATGAAGTAACACGAAAGAATATTCGTAATACAACTGACCTTTGCAGCGATCGTGTATAGCGTGTCCTCAGGACGACCAACACCATTCTGAGCTTGATAAACGTTAGCCAGCACCAAGGGGAAATTGACCAACATAATGATCCCACCTACAGTCCACACTTTGGAGTTTAGGTATGTGAACCACAATGTCAATGAAAATACAAATAGGATAGCAGCCAACCCAAACGCGTTTCCCTGAGTGATATTCCATGCGACTATTGCCATTAAAGCCCCAATACACGAGCCTAGAAGACGACCAAAAAATTGGAGTACTGCACCACCTAGCGTTGGAGAGAATGATAGAACTGCACTAACGAGTGCCCACTACAGAATGGATGAACAAATTTAGTATGTTCCCTTCAGAAAAAAAAAAGTAAATTCGGAGGATGACGAAATTTTATACCTGACCACGATAATCGTCAAACCATGCAGAAGAGTTGGGTAGAAACGCAGGCAAGCTCAAACAAGTTACCGCAAACGCATTCTTGCATGCAAACCTTGCGTGTTCGCTGTTAAACCAATTTCTCACTTTCCACAACCCATACCAAAACCTTTGAGCAGGAGTGGATGGCGGAGTTACATCCGGATCTGGGCCATAAAATTCTTCAAACTCCTCTTCCTCCTCACCCCCATCATTCCTCACTTGTGTCTCAACATTCAAACCATCTTCATCGGTTAAACTGTCGTTTCTTCTACGTTTTAAAAATGAGATCGAAGGGATCCAAAATTTCATATCCTTCCTCGTGGCTTCTAAAAAGCTAATCCGGTTAACCAAGTGGCCCAAATTTCTGGAGAAATCTTTGAGGTTATTTTCAAAGAGTAACAGTAACAGTAACACCCTTTGTGGTGAAGGACTAATATTTTGTTGATCAGCGAAAAGACAGTGCAAACCTTCCTCACGCGCTTTGTTAAACCTAATAGCCGCATCTTTCAGGAATTTTGAAGGTTCGTAGGGGGTAACACTATGGTAATGATGTAGAACTGGTTTACGATAGAATGGAGACCATTTTTTATACCATGGTTCGCAAAAATTATGCTGAATACGTGCGACGCAATCCATCAAACATAATTGGCACGCATTTGAAAGTTCTATGCAAATTGGTCGGAGGATGCCCAACAACCTCGTTAGGTCTTCTTCACTTCCTAGAGTACCAATGGTATTTGTTAATGACGGCAAACGTCCGACATTAGTCGACCTTTGATCGAGAATTGATTCGTTTTCGCAATTATCTATGCGAATCTCTAATTCGCCCTCTTGTCCATCTCCCATTAATTCTCCTTCAATTACTCCGCTTAAAGCTAGACCACCTATGTCTATGTACATGTCTTTTATAATCATATCTAAATCGTTTAAATCTTCTTGACTAACCTTTGAAAAGGATATCTCATGTTGCGCTTCCTTTCTTGCATTTTCAAGATTTTGAAGGTTGTCTTGCAAGGTTCTGTATAATTCAGATATAGTGT